GTTGATAAAAGGATGGATACATGGATGCACTCACAGGTTTCAGTAGCATCTGGCAAAATAATAGAAACAATAGCAGGTGGCGTTGCAATTGTCAGCATTGGGATGGCTGTTAAGAAATAAAATTATTCATAGAAATTTTTGGGATTCAAATAATTAATATTTTAAAATTGAAATTTGAATTCACATCTACTGGTACTGAGTTTTCTTTTCTAGAGGACAAATAGGTTTACTATCATGAAATGAGACGCTTGTTTTTATATTAATCACATTTATATTTGAAACCTTTTCTCATCTTCAGTAAAGCACTTCAAACTAAACATAGTTATAAGGTATAGACCAAAATATACATAGCTTGAAATACAACAACTATACCTGGGCAATCTTGGAGAGCTTTACAAAGTTTGCGATCAGTATCTTTGCCCACACAAGTGCCGTTCAATGAAAATGCATTTGGATCAGAATTTTCACATTCCCTCGACCTGACAACAAGACCTTTTCCACATGTTACCTCGTGTTCTAACCATGGTGACCACAGCCCATTCACCAATCACTGCAACAATTTATAGCAATGATTCAATAAATGCCTTATGAAGTATTTCAAATTTATAACGTTCACATTTATCTTTCAATCAAACTTGGCTTATATATATGCTAAGTAAGGCTGAACATTCATACTAATCACACATGTCATCAAAAATCAATAGACAGACTTGAATGACAGATTTTGCTTATGCAGAACTATACTTGATAAAACAAACAACAGTTGCTCAACAATATATTTACCAGGGCAGGCGAGAACTTCACAGTCTTTTTCCTCAGATCCATTTCCTTCACAATTCTTCCCGTCACCACTTGGAGGAGGGTTGTCACACTCTCTACTGTGTGATTTCAATAAAGATATTTCTTCTCCACAAGTTTTAGAACATGGTGTCCTAGAGGTCCACAAAGACCATCACTCCATCCTCTGATATACAACCATGATACATAGTGAAAATGTCAGTGATCGAATTGTAGATTTGCTTGATAGAAATATAAATGGTTATTATGATGTCTGTCATTGAGTAACTGAAATCTCTAAATATTGTTAATGTTTTGGTGCCCATTTTTACAATCATATTGAGTGCAGTCCAATTGTCCAGCTACACAAGTGCTAATGAGAAAAGCATAATAAATATTGTTTTAAAAATGTTAAATGTTAAGAATTATAAACTTTGTGATGTGCAAGTTAAATTCAACACATCATTCACTGATTTACCAGTAGGTATTACAGTCAACTTTAATAATTTCACCACTATCCAGGTATCAAACAGGTACAGCTGCAATATATAATATACATTTTCAGTATATTAAAGTATATATAGTTTCAAAAACAAAACAAAAATGTGCAAGGAGATACAAACCATCCAATGGCACTAGTCCACCAAGACCTTCTGTTCCACTAGTGCTTTCTGGGCCACCAGGGTCTTCCTGGTCCACCTGAACCTCCAGGATCACCAAGAACATCTGGTTCCCCAATATCTGGAATAAGTGTAACATCTGTAGGTAACTCTCTGCCATCTGGAGCTCCTGGTCTACCAGGGCCTCTTGACCACGAGGGCCAGCAGAACCCACAGGTCCCCAGGGCACTTGGTTTCCCAATAATTTCAGGTATTTTCAATTTTTCTTTCTCTTCAGCAGATAATGTAGGTCCTCCAGGGCTACCTGGTCCACCTGGTCCCACAGGGCCATCAGGTTCACCAACATTGGGTGGTAATGTCTCACATTTTAGAGTTAGGCAATCTGGTCCTCCGGGACCACCAGGCCTGCCTGGTCTTCCAGGACCTCCTGAACCCCTAATCCAAGGAGATCACCTGGACCACCAGGGCCTAATGGCTCACCAGGTTTGCGATACATCACCTTGTTTTTCAGGTGAAATTGTAGGTCCTCCCGCGTCTGGACCATTTAGTCCCATTTTTTGAAAGAAAGAAATCAATGCTTAGCACTTAATAACCAAATCAGATGGATTTAATCATAAGTATAATATAGCAAGTGAAATAAAAAATGTTGTTATTGTAAATAATAATAATGTAAACAAACATACCAGGTCCACCAGGTCCTTCTGGACCCCCTCGCCCACATTGTACTTTTATACATATATCAAATGGGCATCTGCATTTAGATACATCCACACATTCTCCATCTTGTTCAACTGTACCTTCAGCACACTGACAACCAGGAACACACTCTGCACAATTCGTCTTCTCGGATACATCATCACAAGTAGCAGGACAAACTACATCTTCACAATTTATATACTATTTTCCATCAATACATTTCTCTGTGAATAGAACAAAATGTGTATTCAGTTAATGGAACAGTCAGGAAATGTTTCATAGCTTACAATGTTCAATTGAGTTTTCATTCTGAGTGAGTAGTGTAGGAACATGTACTGTAAAAAAAAATATTTTTGCTGGAATTAATTTTTGCTCAAAAACTGTTTTTAGTGGTTGTTTTTTCTAACGATTTTTGATACGTTAAATATAAAATATAGAAAAACAAGAATTTTCATTGGATTTTATTTTCACTGATTTTTGATGTGTTAAATATAAAATATAGGAAAACAGAAATTTTCATTGAATTTTTTATTTCACTGATTTTTGATGCGTTAAATATAAAATATAGGAAAACAGCAATTTTCATTGAATTTTATTTTCACTGATTTTTATATATATATAAAATATAGGAAATACAGGAAAACAGGAATTTTCATTGGATTTTATTTTCACTGATTTTTGATGCGTTAAATATAAAATATAGGAAAACAGAAATTTTCATTGATTTTTATTTTCACTGATTTTTGATGCGTTAAATATAAAATATAGGAAAACAGGAATTTCCATTGAATTTTATGTTCACTGATTTTTGATGTGTTAAATATAAAATATAGGAAAACAGAAATTTTCATTGGATTTTATTTTCACTGATTTTTGATGCGTTAAATATAAAATATAGGAAAACAGGAATTTTCATTGAATTTTATGTTCACTGATTTTTGATGCGTTAAATATAAAATATAGGAAAACAGAAATTTTCATTGGATTTTATTTTCACTGATTTTTGATGTGTTAAATATAAAATATAGGAAAACAGAAATTTTCATTGAATTTTTTATTTCACTGATTTTTGATGTGTTAAATATAAAATATAGGAGAACAGAAATTTTCATTGAATTTTATTTTCACTGATTTTTATATATATAAAATATAGGAAATATAGGAAAACAGGAATTTACATTGAATTTTATTTTCACTGATTTTTGATGCGTTAAATATAAAATATAGTAAAACAGAAATTTTCATTGGATTTTATTTTCACTGATTTTTGATGTGTTAAATATAAAATATAGGAAAACAGAAATTTTCATTGAATTTTTTATTTCACTGATTTTTGATGTGTTAAATATAAAATATAGGAAAACAGAAATTTTCATTGAATTTTATTTTCACTGATTTTTATATATATAAAATATAGGAAATATAGGAAAACAGGAATTTTCATTGGATTTTATTTTCACTAATTTTTGATGCGTTAAATATAAAATATAGGAAAACAGAAATTTTCATTGAATTTTATTTTCACTGATTTTTGATGCGTTAAATATAAATTATAGGAAAACAGGAATTTTCATTGAATTTTATGTTCACTGGTTTTTGATGTGTTAAATATATAATATAGGAAAACAGGAATTTTCATTGGATTTTATTTTCACTGATTCATTTCAGCGAAAATAGTCAAAATAATTAAAAGTTACCATCTCTGTCGTATCTGGGTACCAGGTGTCGGCAGCCTCGTTTGAGTACGCGTTATTTGCTTGAGTCATATTTTAATAAATTTCATTGCAGTACTTTACCTGTTTGTAGTGTTTTTACAAATGGGCAAATATGGACAGACTTAAAATTCAATAAAATTTAATCATCAGCAGGATATGATGGGTATTGCCCTGAATTATTATTATTGAATTATTGAAAGACAGCTCAGATTATTTAATTAAACCTCTGAAAAAATTATTTAATAATATATTACATTCTGCTATTTACCCAGATATATGGAATATCAGTATAATTTCTCATATTTATAAAAAAGGAGACAGATCTGAACCAGATAATTACAGGGGAGTCGCAGATTCAAGTTGTATAGGCAAAACATTTTGCACAATAATAAATATTAGGCTATGCCAATTCATAGAAAGCAAGAATATCATAAACAACAATCAGGCAGGATTCAGAAAAGGGTACCGGACAACTGATCACATTTTTGTCTTAAAAACAATAGTTCATAAATATCTGAAACAAAACAAAAAAATTTATACTTGCTTCATCGATTTTAAAAAAGCGTTTGACAAAGTGTGGAGAGAAGGATTATTCTATAAACTGCTAAATAATGGTATTACTGGAAATATCTACAAATTAATTCAAAATATGTACCAGAATACAAAGGCATGCATTCGTTTTGGTGATAAGATATCTCCGATATTTGAAACTATCACAGGTGTAAGACAGGGATGTGTTATGAGTCCAATGCTTTTCAATCTATACGTCAATGACTTAAATAGTCCATACAAACAATGACAAGATCAAGTTCAACTTATAACATCAAAATAGCTCACTGTTTTATGCAGATGATCTAGTTTTATATCAGAAACAAATAAAGTCTACAGA